CACAGGACAGATTCTCAACCTAACCCAGACAATAGAAAGCGGTAACGAAGCAAAGAAAATCACAGGTGTAGTTTTCATAGATCTAACAGCTGTCTATGATATGATAAATCATAGAATAATGACATACAAGTTGTATAAAATCACACACGATTTCTGTTTCGTAAAATTAGTAGAAACTTTACTAAGTAATAGAAGGTTTTTTTGTAAGTCATAACGAAAAAAATAGTAGATGGAGAAAGTCTAAAAATGGTCTACCGCAGGGCAGTGTACTAGCACCAACAATGTTCAATATATACACCAACGACCAACCAATATTAAAAGACCAATCAATAAACCACTACATATATGCTGACGATACCGCTATTACAGTGCAAAACACGAGTTTTGAAACGGTAGAAAAAAAGATAACTATGACACTTAAAGAAGTTGGTACTTATTACCAAAGAAATCACTTACGACCAAACCCAGCGAAAACCCAAATATGATCCATCCATCTAAGGAATAGGATAGCAAAACGCCTCTTAAATGTAATCTGGGAACTGGGACGGTATAGAACTCGAAAATATCCAACATCCCAAATGTTTAGGAATAACTCTGGATAGGTCCTTAACATACCGAGTTCATTGTGAAAAGCTAAAGAAAAAAATATCGTCACGAAACGGATTGTTACGAAAATTAATAGGAAGCTACTGGGGAGCCCAGCCACATACATTAAGAACTACTGCAATGGCTTTATGCCTATCAACAGCCAAATACTACGCATCACCAGTATGGGGGAGATCTGTCCACTCAAAACAAATTTATGTCACACTAAATGAAACGTGTCGACTGGTGACAGATTGTCTAAGAAATTCTTAAGTTGAAGAAATATATGTACTTGCTGGAATTGCACCACCGGCAATCAGGAGGGCAGTACAAGCAGATTGGGAGAGAACTAAGATGACGAAAGATGACAGACATCCAATGCATGGAATTAAAGCAAACAATTTCCGGCTAAAATCGAGAAACAGTTTCCTAAAAAAGACGAAATTCTTAACAACAACTAAGGAACAGGAAAGAGTTATACAATGGACAAACCAAATTAGAGACAAAAGATGGGTCCACAACGAAGCGTTACCATCAGGGAATCAATTAAAATGGCCCATTTGGAGAACTTTAAACCGAATGAGAACAGGAGTTGGACGCACTAAGGATAACATGAAGAAATGGGGACAACTTGTGAATGTGGGATGGAACAGTCAATGAAACATATTCTGCAATGCCCAATCTGTCCTTACTCATGCACACAAGATGATGTCAAGAATGCAAACAACAACACCAAAGACGTAGCTAGTTTTTGGGCTGAAACCATTTGAACCAGAATACGACAATCATTTACCATTTATGTGACTTTGAATTATTTTAATCTGTTTGTTTATTTATTTTATATATTTGTTTGTCTTTTATATTTATATTTATGGTTTTACTTTATATGTATACTTTGTTAGTTATTATTTGAAGATTGTACCTACATAATGATGTGCCTGACACAATCGATATTAAATAATATAATGTTAAAGTTATTTTAGCTCGGCTTCTATTAACTGGGACAAAATTAATGACCAGCCGGGACACCGAGAAATGTTGTTAAAACCGGGACTGTCCCGGTCAAACCGGGATAAATGGCAAACCTATATATAATGGACATCGAACAAACAACCAAACAAAAAGATGGAATCATCATTTTTCAAAATTAGTACAAGTCACAATCACCATTCCGATTGGAAACAAATCAAAAAAATGAGATTAGAATTGTCTTCTGACAAAACAAAACTAGCTCGATTTCCAATAGACAAAATCCAAAAACAAAAATAAAAACTTATGAAAACATACAAGAAAAAATATATGAAATATGTATAGTAATGGTTTAATACAACAGAAAATTAATGAATATTCCATAGTTATTACTTACATAATATAGTTTTATTTTATTATTATCATAATAGTTTTTTTAATTGTTTTTTTTTTTTTTTTTATTATTATTATTAATTATTATTATTTTTACACAAATTTTAAAATAAATAACAATATATTATATTTTGTATAGTTATTTTAATACCTACTTGATATCTTTTTCATCGGTTGCGTTTTTTCCTTAGGCTTTTTTTATCTTAGATTCGCGTAAACTATAATTGAAGTGTACATAGCTAATAAAATGCGCTACTCAAAAAATAAATGCCCTAAATTATCGTACTAGATACTTTGTTAAAAATAATCCTAACTTTTGCAAATTTTAAATAAGTAGGTACACTTTAAGACCATAATTTCAAATTTTTGAGATTTGTTATAGGTAACCTATTAAATTGATGCACAATTTACATTTTTATATTATGTCTATAATGTTAACGAATAACGAGTGTTGTCTAAAATTATAACAAATTACATGAAATATAACTTATATAACTAAATAATAGGTACCTACCTATATTATAATATGTATAAAATTTTAATTTCGATTGATCCCCTAATAATATTATACTCTGTACTGTTAATACTAAATATTAGTATAATATGATATTCGTTGTAGATATACTAACGTAGGTCCTAATATGTACACTATAGGTACTATAAACAGGAATATTATATATATTTCTGTGAAGGATACCTACTAAAAAGTAAACCTATGTTATTGTTACATATTTTATATTTAAAAAATATAACACTTTAAATTATCATTTATAATACTGTTATAAGTAGGTATGAAATTATCAACATTTTTAATATTCTAAAATAATAAACAATTTTTAATAACATACATCTTATACGCAAAACATGATGATACAATTTAAAAATATGTATACAGTATGTGTGTACCATAGTTTCAATGTCAAACTCTTTAAGAGTGGGAAATGAATAAGCTTACTTACTATATGGTAACTATTAACTATTGTAAGTAAAAACAGCTAAAACTATTTAAAACTTAATTTTAATCTTTTTTTCTGTATAGGTACCTACTGGTACTCTACTCATAACTGATCTAATAATGCAGTTTATACAAGGTTGAAGGTACAAGTATAAAATTGTCTAGATTCTAAGTTCTTAGATTATATTATAATTTATATGGGAGACACCACAGATATACAACTCAAAGAACTTAAAACTTGTTAGATTTATATTATTATTTTATAGAATAACTCGAACAAGGTATGAATTACTACACAGGATTATACGTCTAAAATCTATGTCTAGCCATATGAACGAAATTGCAGCTACTGTTAATTGTTATAGTATTGTTCAAAACTTCAATGTTCAATGGTTTTTTTATACATTTTTAAATTATTTTTGTATAGTATTTTGTGATACAACTTACAATTATTTAGATACAATATTTTTTTTACCGTACCAAATGAATGAGATATCACCAACAGAGATACGTGTCAACGTGTATTATACTATTATGATTATCGCGAAATCGAAAATGATAACACCGATCAGATATCAAATTATTCCAACACGTATATATATTTCATAATTCATTTATTTAAAAAAATTTTAAATCCATTTATACAAGTAGTTTAAATACACTTGTAATTTACATTGTGTGTATAATCATCAAGTGATTTATTTGCGTTTAAATATGGTGTTATTAACTATGATAGCGAGAATTCCTGATGGATTGCCTTTAGCTGCATCAATGCAAGATGATGAACAGGTATTTTAAATTTTTCTTTAGAACCATTTAGAACATATTACGAATTAATGATTAGTAAATGATTTGTTAAATTATATTATTATATTTTTCATACAGGTCGGAAGAAAATTAATTGAATACCAAAATCAAGCAAAACTTCTTTTCAAAAAATTAAACTTTCAGTCTCCAAAACAATGTACGATTGAATCTGTACCATATTATTTCCAGTAAGTATAATATAAATATAATTTAATTATTTTAAAATTTTAATGGTATGGTATGAAATATTTTTTTTTAAGCTATTTAATTGAAAGAGATGTTTGTTACTTGGTATTATGTGAAAAAAACTTCTCAAAACGTTCTGCATTCAGTTTTCTGGAAGACATAGCAGCTGAATTCAATAGACTGTATGGACGACAAGTATCAACAGTTTCACGGCCTTACACACTAATTGAATTTGGTAATTTATTATGATTGTATTACCCAAATTCAGACCAAGTCTTGAGAACTTATAACTTAAAAGTTAAATGCGAATCAAAGAAAAATGATTAAGTAGAGTACATAATAATGTCAATGTTGAAAATTATATTATCTTTATTGAAATTTTGATTTCATGATACACACATTTTTTTAATGTATTTCTTATGTATACATTTCTACAGTGTCTTATGTGTCAATATGCATAGAGGTTTTTTTTTAATTTTTTAAATTAATTAGTATTAACTTATAATTATTTTAGATAACTATATTCAAAAAGCAAAGAAAAATTATATAGATTCTAGAGTACGAAGAAATTTAAATTCATTAAATAATGAACTTCAAGATGTACAAAGAATAATGGTTCAAAATATTGATGATGTATTACAAAGAGGAACTGTTTTATCAGGTAATATATTTTCATGTTACTGTTTAGTCTACGTTTTTAAACTGTCAGACAATACATCCTAAATAATATTTAAACTTGACTAATTAATATGATTGAATATAAAATAAACTAGTCTCAACCATAACAATTATATAAACTTTTCTTGATCAAATTTCTGCACCAAAAAACTATTTATTGACTTATCATATTATCTCAGGAAAATATCATCGAATTAAAAATTTTCTTATTGGAATTGAATTCTAATTTTATTAAATTATTAAATAAAATCAAGAATATGAATAGATAAAACTTAATTTTTTTTCAATTATATTAATATTATATTAAAATATATTTTATAACTAAGACATAATGTGAGCATAATCAATAAACATGATAAAATAATATAAAATGGTATAGAGATTTATAAAATATTTATAACAATATTATAAAAATCTACATTTAATAACTTTTAATTGTCATGATATATTCTGAACTACATTAGAAGTATTTTGGGTATGTAATTAATATTTTTTATTAACTAAGTTTATTCAAGTATCTTATATTTGTTTGTAAAAATCCAATGTTCAGCATTTCTTAACTTCATTTGATTAATTTCAAAATTTTAGACTGAATTTCATTATTGCAATCTATATAACAATACAATATTTATAAATTAATAAACATGAATGAAATAAGTAAAATACAAAATGTGCCAAGCAATTTAGCTGTATTAAAAACAAATTTAATTACACAATCAATAAAAAATGAAATACAGTTTTTAAACTTAAATATTATAGAAATAAAACATTAATGTTATTATAATATCTGTATTGTCTTTTTCAGAACTCGACACAAAAGCACAAAATTTATCTATACTATCAAAAAAATACAAAAAAGAAGCAACCAATCTCAATCTCAAATCAATGTATGTAAAACTTACCGCTGCAGCAGTTTTTGTTATTTTATTATTTTTATATTTTTATGTTTTATAAATAATCGTTAATAATTTATTTAATATTAAATAATAATATGGACGGGGGGAGAAATTTTATTTAGTTTATGAAAACTTTATACCTATTGAAATAAATAAATAATTATCTTCAGAACCTACTCTTTATTTATAATTTGATGTATAATATTCTTCTTCAAGTTCATACAATTCTGTAGACATATCATCGACTAGACTTGTGAGTTTACGATCACATTCTACTTGTTTAGTGCGAAAAAGTTTTGAATTTTGAGCAATGGCTTCATTGACTGATGGAAAATCATTCAATATAAGATATTGTTTCATATCTGAAACCAGTTTCAAAAGTGATTCCCCTGCTCGGACAATGTTGGCTGCTCTTACTTCCATTTCAAAAGCGATCAATTCGCTTCTAGTAGCTTTGGAAATTTGTGTTTGATCATCATCAGTTTTGCACAATTTTACAATACCTTAAAATAAGAAATATTAACATTGGTTTATATTATATTTTTAAAAAGGAATTATATAATAAAACTAATTTATTAAAACCACATACAAATAATTTTAAGAAAAAATAAGTAAATGAATTAGCCTCTATTTTTAAAAAAAGTATACAAATCTATAATATATTATTTATTAAATTATTTGTTTTTAATTGGGTAAGTAATTTCTGTAAAAAAATATTAAATTTAATATCAATATACTAAAGAATGAAGTGAAAAAGTTGATAACTCATGATATAAATAATTTTAAATTAGTCTAAATTTTCAAAATTTAATTAGAAATAAAAAATAATAGCATAAGTAATAGTAGAAAGTATCAAATCTGTAATACACAAACAAAAGAAAAAAAAGTATTAATACTTTAATTCAATAGCTTTGAATTGCATTAAAAACAAAATAAGATAAATCTCCTTTAAACTTTTAAAAAATTTTACTGTAGAATAAAACAATTTTGAAAATTTAACTAAAAATAACTCAATAAGAATCAAAACATTAAAAAAAATTAGTGTAAATATCTAAAAAAAACCAAGTCTGTAGTTTTTATCTTTAACTAACAAAAGTACTATAACTATATTTAACAATAATGTAAAATTGGGCTCTCTTTCTACCATCATAATAAAATTGTACTAGACACCATCATTGTTGAAAATTAGAGCAAATTTTACACAAAACGTCATTCACAAAAACACTAATTAAAAAAAAAAAACCCCCCGATTGTTACACATCATACATTTTCATGATATGCTCAGTATTTATAATTTTAAAATAACAAGTAGTGAGTTTACAAAATATTCATTCCTATATTATCTGTCTTTAAAATAAATCATCAATTTAAAATAATCTTGTAATATAAAATATTTATTCAATTTAGAAGAAAGAATAAATTTATAAATGGAGCTCTTCTATTAAATTAAAATGTAAATATAGTGAATTCTGCTTGTATAACTCACCTTCAAAATTTTCCAGCATACATTTCACATCACTTTTTAAACGGTTTGTATAAGATTTTGTGACAGACATTGCAGAGGACAAATTATTAAATAAATAAATATAAGCAAACACCTACAACAGATTAAATATAAAAATTATTAATTATTTAAACTCATAAGAAACATGATTACAACAAAATCAATTTAAAAATATTCAGGAATTAAAAATACTAATTAATTAATTTTAAATAGGTAATGATAACGGTTTTTGAAATTTATAAAACCTTAGTATAATGTAATTGTAATATCTATTGCTTTAATATTTAATATAACATTAGAATAAATTATAATACCTGATGTCTGCATTAAGAAATACAAATCACTTAAGATTTACTATTCTCGGCTTAATAGTTATTAGTTAATATTAAAATATGATTACGTTTTAACTGTTTTAAGACATGACATTTATAATAATTTATATGTTTATAAAATATTGCTAGATATTTATAATATAATTAATAATTATTAACATGATTATGTAAAACATGTTGATAATATTATCAGCAGTACTATCAAATAATTTGAGTCGATAGATTCATTTATCCATGAAAAAAAAATTGATCCTATATTTTTCTCTTCTAAGGGTTAGAACACAGTGCTGTTTGGAGGTATGTCAATATAACCTACAATATACAAATGTTCTTCTTGAACCGTAGTCTCTACGAGTTTTATTCATTTCGTTTACTTTGCGATTATTCGCATTTATATCCTCGTTTATCTAGTTGATCGTTTGGCTTTTTGACATCATGGCTCCAAAAAAGGTAGTTCAACTTCATTTTAATTATAAATTGCGTTTGCTTAGTATTAAATTTATTGTAATTACTTGTATTTTCTATGAAGACGAATTGGAACCCTATGTAGAAAACATTTGTTATTTAGAACACCTTCATTACTTGAGATTAATTACATTGTTTTGTTTTATTAAATTCGAATATTTTAAACATAAATAGTTTGATACCCAATTAATTATTAGACACTAACACGACTTTTCATTTCAGCCAAGTTCCAGTAAAAAGGTTGGAAAGAAAGCGAAGATTGCACCAGCACCTCTGGTTAGTGAGAAACCTAAAAAAGTTCTCAAACAGAAGGTTGTTAATCCTCTGTTTGAAAAACGACCAAGAAACTTTGGAATTGGTAAGTAGATTGATATTTTATATTAAATTTATTTAGTACCTAGTTCATCTAATTATAAAATATAAGAATAAAAATTGTTTATTGCAATGATGGTTGAATTTCTTCACCTGAATTTAAATTAATTCTACACTGTAGTTTTATTATAAGTAGTGCTGTGAATGACATACTGAGCAGACTTAATTTATATATTTTACTTCTGATAGTAGCTTATATAGTTTTTTTTTTTTGAGATATCTGAGGATACCTTCTCATTTCATTTTGTTATGTTTATTGATTTAATTTGTTTTTTTAATTGAAAGTAGGAAATATGTACAGATCCAAGTTTAAAAGATAATAACTATTTAAATACGAAGCTTAGCTATGATGCGTGAATTTCTTCAACGGAACTTTTCATACAAAAAATTATGTTGAGAATAATGTTGAAAATGACATTCTGAGCTTATATGTATTTAAATTATTGAATGATGAGTTTTTTGATTAATTGATTTATAATGATAATCTAACATATTACGAGCTTTTTAACTCTGACGTTTCAATTTAACTTGGGCTATTGTAATATCCTCTTCAATTAAAAATTATTAATAATTATCCAATGTCAACATGTTTGCTGCGATCATATTGTATATATTTTTCTATGCTAATAAAATTATTTATGTTTCAAAGATTAATATGTAACTAAATTAACAATTTCCCTGTAGGTTTTTAATAATTAAATGTGATGTTCACAAAATCATGCAACTGGTGTCATTAAAGTGAAAATATTTTAACAATTATAAATATTTATATACATTCATTTGAGAGCACCATGATGTTAAATGTTTTTATTAAAAAATGTTTGAAAGTATATATATTTTTTTTTTTTTTTTTTTTTATTGAACTTAAGCCCGGCAACTAGGGCCATTAGCTGTTTGTAGGGGTTATGAACTATGGTAAGGGATAAGGTGGGTATGGTAGGTTATATTTTATGATTGTTACGGTTGATAGCAAACACGTGTATGTATGGCAAGGTTTTTAACCACTATGATCCCGTGTGGTCACCCATCTGGAGCTAATAGCTGTGGCCGTTACTTACTCTCAGTTCCATTCTGTGACTGGTAGCAGCCATCGCGCCACGCCAAGCCACTGTATAATATTTGATGAGCTTTTTAACCCTGAACATAGTAAATGTTAAATATATAGTACTTCAATGTATTGAATACTCTTTGTTTAATGTGTACGTGTAAAAATTACTTTATTTAATACTAATTCTAGTCATTTAAATCTACCCAAATTGCTATGATGAGTTGTATAATTATTGAAAATATCTATGAGATTTTAATTTATGAGCTTTTTAACACTGAGCAATCTGGTTATAAAGATACAATTGTTTCTAAGATTAAACATTACATGAATATTTTATTTTTTTTAACTTATTTAATCAACATTATAGTTTTATTTCAATGTTTTGTTCATTTTTATGTCTATACTAAATAAATTAACTTGATTAATTAATTTCTTAGGTCAGGATATTCAACCCAAAAGAGATTTGAGTCGTTTTGTAAAATGGCCAAATTACATTCGTATTCAGCGACAAAAGTCTGTTCTTCAGAGAAGGCTCAAAATTCCTCCACCCATCAATCAATTTTCATATGCAGCTGATAAAGCTACTGGTAATATCAAGTTATAACCAACTGATATATTAGATATTTTAATAACAATGTGATTTTTATTGTATTGTTTAGTCACCCAGTTATTTAAACTAATGGAAAAGTATAGACCTGAAACAGCTGCTATGAAAAAAAGGAGATTGCAGGTAATTATTATCAATTAAAATAAACCTTATAAATTGTAAGATGTAAGAGCTTATTTATATATATATTTTTTTTTCTTTTAGAAAAGAGCTGAAGATAAAATTGAAACAAAGGAAGATCAACCAACTAAACGTCCAAATGTTATTCGTCAAGGTATCAATACTGTTGTAAACCTTGTTGAACAAAAAAAAGCGCAATTAGTCATCATTGCTCATGATGTGGATCCTTTGGAGGTTATTTTTTTTTAATATTTATTAAATTTAAAATCTGTTTATTTATAATAATTTATTTTTTAGTTGGTAATATATCTGCCAGCATTGTGCCGCAAAATGGGAGTCCCATATTGCATAATTAAGGGCAAATGGAGGTTGGGAAACCTTGTCCGACGTAAGAACTGTACTGCTTTGGCTATTACACAAGTAATAATTATAATATATTAATAATTATCAATATGTTCTTGCAATATTTAAACAATTTATTTTATAAAATTTAGGTTGATACTGGTGATCGGGCTGCTCTAGCTAAACTGGTGGAATCTATTAAAAACAACTTCAACGAACGATTCGATGAGTTCAAACGTCATTGGGGTGGTGGTGTTTTAGGTGCTAAATCTGCGTGCCGTCTCGCCAAAATTGAAAAAGCGAAAGAAAAGGAACTGGCGCAAAAACAATAAGATTTATGTATATGACATCTACCTAATAAAACATGAAAAATTGATATTTTGTATTGACTATTTCATTTATATTACTATTTAACCCTCAAAACTCATCATATTATTTATATTAACAATTGTGTAGTGAAGTGATTTAATATTTGCATTCAATATGTCAATATTTTTTAATAATATTACTTTAAATATTTATTTTTTGACAGATAAATTAACTTCAAAACATTAACAGATATTCACTTAATATTACAAGTTATTTTTATTTGCTTTGCAATTGTGGATACTTTCTACATTTATTTTCTATTTTATGATTAATTTTAATGTAAATAGTTTTAAGTTCAGGTACACTAGGTTCACTAAGCAGTAATGAATACAGAGTATCATTTGTAAATCTTAACAAAAAGTTTTTTATCATGCCCTCACCGGTATCCAAGTTGAGACTAATGACATTGAATATGTTTAACTTTGATTATTTATTTTTTTAGTTATATCAATTACTAATTATTTTTGTATGAGGAGGTAAAATATAAATTAGGAATTTGATCAAGGAGACACACGCCCTATTAGTAACGCTTAGGTTAATAAGATTTACAGGAAATTAAGATAATAACAGTAAATTATTGATATTGAATGGAAATTAAGTAGGTATTTTTTATTAAACAATGAACCAGGCAATTTGATGAATTTTATAATCCTGTTATCACAATGATTAAAATCTAAACATCACTGGATTGTGTCTTAATCCTTTGGTATTGAAGTTAATTTTTTGAGTTAAACATCATATAATATGAATTAATAGAAGTATAGAAAGAACCGAAATATTTTTACTATAAAAGAATATCTATTACTTATTACCAATATTACCTAAATCACACTTAAAATAATGTATTTATAAGTAATAAGTCCATTGAAGGTATAATCAGTATAATTAATAATACAGGATAATTACCCATTAAAAACTTAAGATCTTAATCTGTGCCCTACTACCCCGCGATAAAGAATAATATGGGTTATCTTTAATAAAGTAATATTAAATATTATACTTAACACAGTCTCAAACTTATTAAACAAATATTAATAATTGTGATATAGAATAATAAATTGATTTTAACTCAATGTCTCAATATATTACATGATATTATTTTGAATACATACTAAAATTAGTTCAGGATTTTAAATAATAAATAATTCAGAATTCAAAATATAAATACCCATTATTCCGAACATAAAAAAAAAATGAATTAATCAAGTATTATTCTTGTAATAGCAATAACTATTAAGTAACACTTAATATATGGCTACACTGTAAAACTAATAGACGCATGCGCATAGAGTGTAGTATTTTGTATTTTTTTTTTTTATGAAGATTAAATGTCTAAATACTTGATGGCTATTGTTATTGTTTAATATACGTTTTATTATTTTGTTTTAATCTTAATTCTTCTAACCAAAAATATTATTTACTTGATACAGCTTTTAATTAATTACTTTTGAAAAAAAATTAACATTTTCTTAATTAAAACATGGAAGTGAGTTACGAAAATGAAGGTAAGATGTACATCAACCACATAAGACTATGATAATTATTGTAAAAATATTTTAACTTTATCATTAAAGTATACTGACATACATGCATGTTCATGAAGTGAAATGTATTCCACAAAATCACTTATAAAAGTTTCGAAAATTATGTATTTCATATATTCTTGGTCTTTATTTCATTTATCTTTGAAAGCTTATTATTTTTAAAACGATTAACGTAGAATATGCTTGCATTATGTAAATTAATAGTTATATGACTTAATTTATGTTCTATTATACTTATCAACAATGTTTTTTTCACTGTTATAATCATTATTTGACAGCTTTTAATTTATAAATTACTGTCAAATGTCTTTTACTACAACTTATTAATGATTTAACAATAAATAGATTTACATTAGTTGATAAATAAGTAAGTATTTGATAATTTATTGACGATAAAATAACATTTTGACATAATTTAAGTAAATAATAGAGATTAAATGTTCATACCATTGTCACTAAATTAATAGTTAAGTTTGATGATGACATTAAATTCCTATGTTGACTAACAATAAGTTTAATAAGTTACAATATATTCAATATTATTTAAAATACATAGTTAATAAAGAAGATATTATTTAATATGCATGATATGCGTGTATAAAAATCAATTAAATATGTTTCTTTTTCCTTAAATTAACAAATTACAATATATACGTTCTAATTTTCTATTGTGTCAAACTTATAATTGTATGTATAGCTTGGATTTCTAGTTTGATCAGTTTTAAATTGAGAGTATGTACTCTTTAACTTCTAAGCTCTAGTAATATTATATTATTTGATACTCATTTTGAATGAGTAAGATTAAGTTTTAGAAAAACTAAATAAATAGTTTATGCATTGTTATATATGTCTTATTTCATGTGTAATTTTTTTTTTTTTTTGCCTCACAATTGTGACTAAATATTTCACTTGAAACTCAAAGGAATGTATTCTCTGTAACTATTTTAATTTTTAGAGACATTTTTTAAATTAATTGTTATGCGAAAAATCCAATAAGTTTGTCTTCTTAAATAGTAAACTTTAAACAATTTGATACTCTTATTATTTTATTAGTACTGATATAATAGTTGTATAAATGTAAGATCTTTAAATAAGAAAATATTATATGAAAGAAAATAAAAAAATAATTTAGTTTTTAATTATCTTTATAAGAAAAATATTATGAAGTCAACAATGTCTTCATTAAGTGTAATGAAATTAAGAAATAACATTTTGTAATGAAATATTGTTTAGGATATGATAATGATTATCAGTCTAAGTCCAAAGGAAGTATTTTGACTCGAAAGAACAACACAATGCCAATGTGGGGAAATGAACGTACAATGAATTTAAATACCCTAATTTTAACTAATATTCAATCATCTCATTATTTTAAAGGTAATTATAAAATAAATAATTAATACTTTAATTATTATATAATCACATTGATGGATGCTTAAATTTATTTATTTTATTTTTTTGATTCTGGCCATTTTCCCAAAACTTATATACAGTATTAAAATATACAAGGTAATTCTTTAATCAAACAACACTATTTATTTCAAAATCTAAAAATGTTTTTAAAAAAACGTTGATACATTTTGAAGTAATGAGTATTGTTTTCAATAAAAGAATCACCCTACATGTAGCATACTTTTATATACTGTATAATATATGTTTTATTATTTTAGTTAATTTATATGAATTGAAAACTTACCATGAAGTTATTGATGAAATTTACTATAAAGTACAACATCTTGAACCATGGGAAAAGGGCAGTCGCAAGACTTCTGGACAAACTGGAATGTGTGGAGGTGTAAGTATTTAACTAATTATTTTTGATTACTATTTTAACTTAATAAAATTGTATATTATCTTAATATATTAATTAGGTCCGAGGGGTTGGTGCCGGTGGAATAGTATCTACAGCCTTCTGTCTTCTGTATAAATTGTTCACATTGAAATTGACTCGCAAGCAGGTAACTGGGCTAATTACCCATTGCGATTCACCTTATATACGTGCTTTGGGTTTTATGTACATCAGGTAAGTTTTTGATCAAACTATCCCAAAGTGTATAATGGAGGATAATTGTTTCAAGAATAATAACAATTCTGAAAGTATACCTATTTCCTATTATTTATATATAATTGATTACCTGTAATGAGATTTTAAATTAAATAGTTTTTAAATGTTTTAATTAGGTATACTCAACCTCCTGGTGATTTATGGGACTGGTATGAATCTTTCTTAGATGACGAAGAGGTATACTTTTCTCTAGTTCTAATTTTTTAAAGTTAATAGATTAGATTAACTTTTATACATTTTTTCATTCATTATATAAAATTTGATACTACATTAGGAAATGGATGTAAGAGCTGGAGGTGGTCAAATAATGACAATTGGGAATATATTAAAGAGCTTTTTGTTCAAATTAGAATGGTATTCAACACTTTTCCCTAGAATCCCTGTTCCCATTCAGGTAGGTATGTCGGCTAAACACATTCTTATTTATTAATTTAAATCTAACTATACAATATAAATATTGTGAAAAATATAAATTATTATTCATATTGTTTTCAGCAACAAATGGAAAAAAAAATGAGTGAAAAGTATCCTCCAGTAGTTGAAGAAGCGCCTAGAAGAAATTTACCGGAAAAGAATTTTAGGTAATACAGTATTAGTTTTTTATTTGATTTATTTTATTAATTATGTATAAAATATTATAGTAGGGATCGAGATGACTATAGAAATAGAGGAGATTTATCTGACACGTCAAGGCCTCGTGAACGAATTGAACGTAGAGAAAGATCACATAGAGATTATCGTGATAGAGATTATGAACGCAAGTCAAGTCATGCAAATTCTCGTGAAAGGTTGTATAATTTTATTAAATAAATATAAATATTTTTATACTGACAAATCTTTTATCATAAAAGAAAGTTGCTTTTTTTTCTAATGAATTTTGAAAAATGGTTTTCAACTTCCTAAACACAAATGTCAAGTACTAGGAAGTAGTTGGAAAAATATTTATAATTTTTAAATTTGTATCATTTAAATTAAATATCTCTAAAGATGATTTCATCCAAACATTATAAATATCAATTTCATAAAATAATTAATATACAATAGACTTAAAGCTAGTGACTAATAGGATTTTGCATATTTTTCAATAATCGTAAAACATATTTAAGTAATATAAAAATTATATCACAGTAGTTTTAGAAGTTTATAATAATATGTGACTCAGAAAATTATATTTTATATAATATACTAACAATTTTAATATTCATTTTCTAGAAATTGGAAAAAAAATAGATTGTAATGATTAAATATAAATAATTTAATAATCTTTTTACTGTGCCCAATTATATCTATGTTATGAAAATACGCCAAATATGGTCAGTCGATGTCAATTTGTCTATCAGTGTTCGTTTTATGTGTTTTCATATGGCGTTAATATAGTCAGTATAATATTCTAGTCTAAGTACAGTTTTTTTTGTTGTGTATATTAAATTAAAAACATCTTATTTAATAATAAATAAATTTATAATTTTTGATTTTTTATTGAAAAATTAAATTTCTTCAAGGGTATAAATGTATGCATATTTTAAGTGAAAATAAAATACTAGATAATTTTTTGTGGGTAATTTAAATTAATGTTATAAAACTAAATAAATATATCTTCACTCTTAATGATATATCATTTTTTTTTTTTTAATTAAATACAATTACTTATGTTTATTTTTTTTAATTTTAGATCACCTTATGTAAGTCGAAGAGATGATTATAATAAAAGGTAATGAACATAAATTTTAGTTAATTAATAATAAAAAATAAGTTATAATAAACAATTTTCGGTTTTAGTTCTTCTAGAAGTCCAAAATATGGAAGCAGTAAAAGAAGAGATAGAGATGATTACAAGTAATTTTAATTTTTTTTTTTTTTGTATTTGAACTAAAAAATGTTTAATACATAAATAAGTTTGAGAGAGTCTAACTTAAGTCTACTATTGCTTTTATTTATCACTCTTCTCTTTGACTTGTTAATTTTTTTTTTTTTTTTAATCTATTAAAATTGTATTTATATATTTTAGGTCAAGATCGAGATACTAATATGGAGTATTAAGAATAAAATTAATAACCTTTTTTTTCACTCCATTAACAAAATAAGTGAACGAAGTTCTTAGTTTAAGTTGTACATACATACTTTAATAAATTACACAATTTCTGTATTTTTAATTCATTAAAAAAAAAAGACAATTAATTTTCAATAATAAAAAAGTTACATGTTAATTGTATATAAATACTAAAATTATTATTCAAAATTTGTTTGATTCCATGCCATTTTAATTGCGTGCCTGGACTTAACATTTTCTTCATGATCTTCTGAAAAACTTTTTAATGGATACACTTCTTTCCTTTTCATAAATGAAGTAAATTTATGCCAAAAACCATTGTTTGTTTTCTTTGCCCTTCTTTCGTCATAGCATTGAATATTATCACTTGAGGCTTTAAATGTAGTTGTATTATCAAACTCTGGTATCCAATCAACTAATTCAGCTTTAAATATTGTATTCATTACACTTTCATATACCATATCAGTTACATTTCTACTGTACAGAAAATCAACATGGTTGAATTGATCAAATTTTATGAGATGTATCCCTAATCTATTTGGTAAACGAGAATATAACTCCGCCACGTCCTAAATACAAGACCAATTAATTCTTTAATTATATTGGTTAAATAGAGTGTACAGTGTTATAGACTCCCACATTTCCACAATTAATTTTAAAAAAATAATACAAGATATGGAAAAAAAATTGTATTTATAGAAAACGATATATAATATATACATTTTTTTTTTTAAGTATATCTAAATGATTGCCTTGACGAGTAATGGGCATATGGAACTGTTCTCAAGTTTTCCTTTACTCTCGCCAGCATCCCAAAAATTTCTTGACAGATAGCCTCCTTTAGTTCTTCAATAGATTTATATTGATGTTTGAAAACTTTAATTTTGAGGTATATATAAGAAATAGCTACAAAGGCTCCAAACGGGGAAGTAAGGAGGCCAAGCAATATTTTCCCTTAAGGGAGAATTGAGGAAATATTTCTTGCGAAACAACACGAGAACGACGGGCTGTATGAGTTGTAATCCAACTGATTTTTAGGCATTACAGATCCTGTTCTTAAATTTTGTACCCAATTCTAAATCGTTTTCCGATCAAGGATACTTTTGTTTGGATTCTTACCGAACAACCGAACTGAGTAAGAAATGCTAAATGTCGCAGTCGCACATACGGCGTTATTTAAAAATGTTTCCTAGATAATGAAACCACGTTCACTGTACTATGACATAGTGAGTAGTGACGAACAAAAACATTAACCTAACCCAGCGAAATAAACCGCTTTAATCTAATCAGTTTGTTTACGCAATGATGATTTTCATTTTTGAAATATGGGAGTCCATTAAGTACACATTTACACCACACTTGATGTGTATATTAACACATCAATATGGAATGATTTGTTGCTTAATTAACATATGTATTTAAAAAGCTATCTTTAATTATTTATCAATAATAAGGAAATAAAATTAATATTTACTTACTATAGGATCTGCTATTATATCATTTTTAGCATAATAAAATGCGATGGGTGCAATTATATTGCTCAAATTGTACTTGGGCGGATGTGAACAATTATAAACCTCAAGGTTTTTTTCTATTCCAAAATCGAATTGTTGGAAGTTTTCTTAAAAAGATAGTTTTAAAAATAAAGTTTATCTATAATTTAAGTTTAAAATATTATATTTACTTGTAGTAATTTCTTGTGCGAAATGAATTAAAGTTTTCACTGATGTGCCAGCTGGATTGTGACCCAATATTATGGGAAGTAAAGTCTAGAGAAAAAAATAGTTTAAAATATTTTGGTTAAAAGGTATAAATAAAAAGTTTAAACATTGTAGTAAGGTTTACAACTTTAGAAATAACATAATATATGCATGTGTTGCCTCAGTCTTATTAACGGTAACGTATACCAAAGTTTACATTCTATAGTAACAACGTTGTTGCTTAAATATTTAGGTGGTTAGATCTATCATTAACATTAAAGAAAACATTATTATTAACTCCTGTTAGTTTTTACATGATTTCAATTGTAGATCAATTAATTCAAAATCTTTAATCTAACACAAAATTGACTAAACACAAATTTGCTAATATCAATTTGTAAAACGGAGATAAAATCATGTAATGTCTTCTTAAATTCAATTTGCAACTGGATAAAAAGCTTTAATTTTAAAATAAAATAATTTAGAAAAATATCAAAACCTAAAAGTGGTTTAAAAAAATCTTTTATCTACTAAACCGAAACAAAGCATTTGAAAACCTTAACCGTTAAATTTAACATTAATTACCTAAAACTTTAATCAATGCTATACACTGTCGGCATTATAGGTACCTAACTCAGTATCGCTTATCTTATCGGTTATTAAACTGGTTTTTAATAGTGGCGCCACTATTTTTGGGAAGGGGTGGTGCAAAAGAATCTTTAGCACCCACTAGTTTAAATTAAGCACGATAGCCCCTCTTAATTTTTATATCTAACTATTTATTGAAAATTATTACAATTCCTACTATCTCTGCTACTTGCAAGCGAAGTTTTTCGACAATGTTGGCTAAGATAAAGTATGCTTCAATTGCTTCATTAAAGGTTTACTAATTTATCTTTGAGGAACATTAAAAAATATTTATTAAATCAGCTAAACACCGAGCATATTTTATCTAAATATTGACTGAAACTCAGAAAAATTGCTGATTTAAAATGTATAGTAAATTATTACTTATTAGCTATTTAATATGATTATGAAATTAAGAAGGTTACTCAATTAAAAAAAAAGGGTTGTAATTTTGTTTTTAATTTACATGAAGTGTGCTAATATGTGTTTAAAATTTTGATGTAATGAATATATGTTAAAGATTAGGGGGTGTGGAAGGCTAAGCCTCCTACGGCTTTGTGAGGCATTAATAGTTTTATCACCCTATGTTTTAGAGATCTAATTGCGTCTATTGATTTTAAGCTCTACGTTTTGGAGCTGATTCTATTCAGATTTTATGTCCTGATTAGTATACCTACTGGATTTATTCGGTATTTAAAAAATTACCATATCAAATTGAACAGAATCTTCCCCAAACATTTTATAAACAATATACTTTTTACATATTGCCGAATTCATAGCGTTATCGCCACACAAATACTTGTTAACTAATTTGCTGGCAGCGTTTTGCGGTAAAAACGCACCTTTTGAAATCCAATTTGAAGCTTTCTAGAAAAAAATAAAATTAAATATAAGCTATTTAAGAGTAAGGAGGTAAAAATTAATGAGAATCTTAAAAACGTTTAAACACACTTGTATTTGGTTTGCATACGGAACCATACTATTTAAAACAGAAGTCATGTGATGAACGTAAGCCACTGGAGCTAAACTTATTTGTGCTCGTATTTTATAATTATATTCTGGGCGCATAGAACACATGACAAAAAACATACAAGATCCCATCGAATGGCCGACGTAGTATAATTGACTTCGGTTTGTGCGTTCTAGTATGTAGTCAATGGTGGCTGGCAAATCATAGATACCCATTTCATGAAAACTATAACAAATAAAAAAAATCACTAAGCATTTAAGTACTTATATCTACTTCATACTTGTAATCGGTATAATCGGTACCTAAGCTCAAATTGAGAAGGCAATGATCAGGAGAATTTTTTTTTTTTTTAACAAGCACGTTTAAAATAAATTAACACGTCAGAAAAGCTCATTCTGTAAGAGTGCAACTCGTCCAATAGTAGGAATTTTGGAAAATAATTTAAAAATCAGTTAATCAAGTTTTCGAATAATTAAGTTATAGTTAAAATTCAAAAACTTATAAGCAAACATTTAAAGATTTAAGGTAAAGGTACACCTCCACTTAAACCAAACAAACAAAAGTGTGATGATAAATACACTGTCACAGTGTCACTAAATTAAATTATACTAAAAAGACAATAGTTTAAGGCAGATGTTGATAATATATAATAATAAATAAAAATAATATGAATAAATGCAAAAGAACACAATAAATACGTAATAAAATTACTTTTTATTGTTTGTCCATTTAAACGGCCAGTTGCCATTTTGGGATACCTACTCAGATTAATCAAGGGTCAAGTCTAATTCTGCCAACTTATCCGCTAATTATTTTATTACTAGTTGTTATTATTTTTTTTTAAATATATTATGTATTATGTATTATAATTACCTATATATATAAGTATAATAATTAAGGAAAGCAAAAGAGCATCAGAATTAATCAATACACTACATAATTGAATAATAATAAAAAAACGAACTTAAGTTAAAAATTGTACTCAACTAATGGTTAATGAAGCAAACCATTTAATTTAGATTAATGAAAAAAAAAATATAATAATTAAGGAATCAGATTCTATTTTTAGGAGTTCAATATAAGCAATTTCTTAAGATCGTGCGTGTTGTGTATATGTAAACGCGTGTAGGAACTGTACCTATAGTATAAAAGAAAATGTCAATTTTTTTAACAATTGTACCTATTTATCTACCGTTTTGAAAATATATTTGAATTTAACATTTGTAGGTGTTATTTTTTTAGCTGTAAACGTTAAGTATAATCCAAATGCAACCTAAAAGTGCAAGAAATTACCTTTTTATTAAAAAATAAGAATTATAATGTTTAAACTTACTAATATTAGCTTAGGATTGTCTTAGATAAAGATAAGTGTGATATAAATCATTTACAACTTATTTAATGCTAATAAATCTAAGTATATTGTATTTTAATATTAATAAAATAAAAAATCTGTCGCTTTGCAGTGTTCATACATTTAACAGCAAATATTTAAAAAATACATGTGATTATGGACTTAAATTTAAGGACCATACATATTAAGTAAATAATTTAGTAAGAAGCTATTTTTTAAGTTTGAAATTCTTCGTTATATTTTAAATACAAATATCCCACGAATAATATAATTAGCTTTAGCTCGATCTATTTTTACATTATGGTTCTATAGTGTGGGGACTAGTGGGGTGGTGATTATAGTATTAATTTAACTAGTAATTATTTGTAATATGATATGGTTTCTAAATTAACATTTTAATTTGGTTATTATAATTATAATTACTATGGCTAAATACTAAAATTTGACACAGTCGCATTCAAGCTTTGCTTTCAGATTGAGTTTTTCAATGAATTTCCTTGTGCATGTGTGTTTATATTTTGGTGCAAAATAAAGGCATTGTATTTATTTATAATTCTTATTAACCCATAAATGCAAATAAATTTTACAAAAATAAAGTGTATGTTAGTAAAACCATAATCATTATTATTTGAGTTTTTACAATGATATTAAAATGAGTTAAAAATAAAAAATTATTTTACGACAAATAATTTTATTTGGTAGCTCCGAAATTTTTTCAGTCACCGTTCGTTTACAATGATTACGAACTATTTTTCACCAAATATCCTAATTTTCTAAAGTATTGTGATTACTTATTAAATATATTTCTGTTTTCCGTCAAAATGTTGAATATTTCGGAATTAGTTTGAATAGTTGAAAACTATACATCCTCAAGATATATCTGTTTGCCATAACTCACTATTGTCTACACAAACAAATATACAATTATTGTACACTATGCACTGCATACTTTTATTTATAAGTTGTGTAAATGACATTTTAATAATTCATTTTTGAATGTTTATAATTTTAATTTTGGCAAAAACCGGACGCATACACACAAGGCAATCACCAAAATGATATATATGTGAATAATGGATATCTGATATACGATTTAAAACATTTAACTTGACTTTCAAACATGATTCAATTAAAAATAAAACAACTTATGATAAAGTTATATCATAATCCATAGTTTTAAAAATATAATTACCAAAAATTATATTTTATGTAAGTTTATACAATTATAATGCATACACCGATACACCGTATAGCTACCTTAAATAAATATCAACCTTCATTGTAATTTGTTACGATAAATAATACAATGCAAATAACACTAAACTTTAACTTGAATTCGATCACTGATGTTTTTGAAATATAAAAATAGTAAATATACATTAAATGTGCATTAAATTTTAAACTGAAACGGGTTCAATATTGAATGAGATTACACAATTAACGTTTGTGCTTTTGGGTATCACACTATATCGTCGGTTTTTTCGTGTAACTGAAGATACTTTATTTATATCTTTTAGTAAACAAAACACTTATAATCTTTAATCAGTTCAATTTTGAGAGTGGTTTCTAATAAAAAAAAAAAAATCGTACTTAGTGTTTTTAAATCCGTAATTTTAAAATTAATTTTAATAAATGTATCCAATTATTAAGATACAATTAGCATAAAATATATAGGAAAATTTAAAAAAAACAAACTGGAATCGAAACCTTTTAATCACTTATATTGCTAGTCTTATTAATTGAAAAAATAGAAATGAAAAATTTAAAATATAAGTTTGTATAATTGTATCAACAAACGATACTCGTTCACTCGACACTCCTAAGTATTTGAAAATATAGTGCTTATGATGAATACTTAAAAAGTTCAAAACTCAGAATTTAAAACATTTTTACGAAAGTGAAAAATTAGGGGCAAATTTACTTGTCGAATTATCAGACATAATCAACCCTGCAAGGAATGAAACCCAACATCCACGAATATTTTCCTAAGTTAGTGATTACGGTTACCATTTAGTATTTACAAAGTTACCCAACTTAACCAAGAAACAATATATCACCTGCGAAAAATAATATTTTTAATTTCTTCTCTTATAGACCAGATTAAAGGTATAACTATGTACTATATTATTAACTACAATAATGTATAATTGCCTGAAATTCCAAAATTCTTCGCTATCTGGACTGAGAATTTTGTGGGTACGAGAATACGTGTTGCCTCTTGAATTTCCTAACCATACGTCGAAACCATTATCCGCTAGCTGATAAGCTGAAAAAATAACATACCTACTTTTTATTTATTTAAAATATAAATAGATGCACTTACAAAACGATTCTTTTTACACTATATTTTCTAGGTACATTTTAAACAATAAAATACGTATTTTTTAATTTCCCATTCTAACAAAATAATATACTATTTTCTAAAAATGTCAATTTTTACAAAAATAAAATTTTGAAATTATTTCATTGAAAAGTTTAGTTAATCTAAAGTTTAAAAATTCTAATAACTAAACTATATAGTTTAAAATTCAATTTTATATATCGGTAACCCCAAAAGATATTCTACTTTGTTGAAAAATGAAATTAAAAAATATGTGTATTGATATTTTTAAAAGTAAACTACTTAAAGAATACTTTATGATAACAAATCGTGTAGAAAAATGTATTTTCAAACAAGAAAATTACGTTAGTTTAGACAATATAGTTAAGTATTTATAATGAGAAAATTAACGACTGCATAAAATGATAAATTTTTTACCTTTGCCCTTGCATAATATTAAACTTTTAAATTATTAGTACATAATCAACAAAATTTTATTAAACGAATAAATCAATATAATATAATTTACAGGTTCAAAACATATATTGCATAAGTAGTGTATAAACTGTAAATTTTCCTAATCTAACTGTGGACATTCAGGATGTATACTTTTAATTATATCAAATAAATATTTTTATAAAATAATATTTTTTTCTAGATGTTTTAAATTATTTTAAAAATGTCTGTTTTTAATAACTACCTACAAAAGTTTTCGATAAAATATCCTGAAGTACCATAAACTTTGTATGTACTATGTACCTTGTACTAAGTACTTAAGTTGTACTGTTTTCAGTCTGACCCATAGTACAGTTGAAATAAAATAAATGATATTTTATTTTATAATTTTACTATTTAATATTTATACATAATCTATGATGTATAATAAGTTTAAAATAAATTGTATTATATATTCCAGTTGAATAATCATGGATCAATTATTTGCTTATGTAAAAATTGAAAATATACAAAACATATTAATTAAACACAAATTAAATGTTAAAAATATATTTTTGCAAACTATTAAAATAAGAACACTATATTGTTAATAACCTACAAGCACCGAGGGTCTTAATTCAATTTTACGATAATATATATTATATAGGTACCATAGAAGATACTACTTATTTTAATATAAATACAGGGCCGTATTCCCGCTTAGACTGTTTAGGCTAAAGTCTAGGGCGGCAAATAATAAAGGCGGCAAATTTTAATGATTGAAATGAAACAGCAAATTTTTTATGGTGTGACTCAATAACTACGTTGAGATATTATTTTTAAATATAAAATATAAAAACATGCAATTAGAAATTAGAATACAGTTCGATGTGATTGTGAAACAAAGTATTTCTAAATAAACCGTAACCGAAATTAAGTATATAATATTTATTATTATTAATTAGATTATTAGTATTATTTTATCATATTAATAGTAAATCGCGAAAGAAAGAAGCATTAAACCCGTATCAGCTGAATCTAATTTTAACTTAGTTTATTTTTTTTAGATAATAAAACAAGTGTCATAATATTATGGTCGTAAATCTCATAATAATTATTATAGTAGATAATGTATAATGTGGGGAAATTTCCGCGATAAGCGATGACGCCTCAAATATTGTAGGTACCTATATTATAAGATACTCGTACTAAGTTTATTATTTTGCTATACACCACGCTGTAACAAAATCGACTGGTCGTTTATTTGTATTCGTTTTAAAGCAGTGATTTCCATTTGCTTTTATTGTCAACCTTGAAAGTTTATCACATAATGATATTGTTAAAAGAGCTACACAACTTAATGAAATATACTATGATGATATAGATTTAAATTAATTAATTAATAATTAATGAATGTCTACACTTAAAAGCACACATAATACAACTGGCTGTCGATAAGCAAAAAAAATGTTCCCAAACTTTTTCAAATTTTACATAAAAAAAACTGAATTTAAATTTATCCCAACATCGAAATAGCACTCGAAATATATACATCTACTGCAATGACTGTTCAGCTGAACGTTCATTTTCTTGCTTGAAAAAAATAAAAAATAATTTAATATTTCCAATCTACAATGTCACTAGATTGATGAAATGCACTACTTGCTATACTAAGTATTGAATATGAATTAATTAATCAGTTATCCTATGACGACATCATTGAAGACTTTGCAAAAAAAAATCAAGACGTAAGACTATAGTCTAAAGAATAAAGAATATGAAAAATATTTATTTTTTTGTATTTTCTTTTAACATGCTTAAGGAGTTTTCATTCATCAATAATAATATACATAAAGTATTTATTTTATTTTTTTTATTTTATTGATGATCATTTTTTTAATATGAGGTTTGGGGGGTTTTTTACACATCACTTATAGAAGTAAAATATCAATACCTATGTAAATTAGGTGGTAAATTTATTTCAGCCTATGGGCGGCGAAAATCTTAATCCGGCCCTGTATAAATATGATAATATATATGAGTCAAGACTTACCCAATGCTTTAGTGGGCCCGTTGATAATCCAGTCAGCAGAACTAGCTACAACCCCGTGTTGTAAAAACACTGGGAAATTTCTGTACTGATTATTTTTTTTTCCGTGCGGTATTCTATGAACTTCCAATAGATATCCATCCTTCGTATCCACGATATGAGTTTCAGACGGATAACCATAACGTTTAATTATTTTAGGCTATCAATGCAAGTAATCAACATTAAAGCGCTTGTAATATATTATATTAGTATGTATACATATCAAAATTTCACAAGTTTGTGCAATAACAAAAAGTACTAGGAAACTTTTCCAAATTACAATAACAAATTTAAACTTCATCTTATTTGAAGTATTATACTTCAGTACAAACAGCACACTAATTACTTTAACAAATTAGTAACTGCAGCAGGAAACATCTTTGATAACCCTTTCTCATAATGGAATGGTTAGAGCCCCGAAGAGTTAAAAGTTTAAAGGATTTTTAATGCTAACCCGCATAAGATGTATGACATGCAGTAACCAATGTCATGATGTAAAAACCACCCTGCAAAAATTACTCTTCGGAGCTATTCCAAAAAAAGAATTACCAAAGACGTTTCCAAAAATAATATTAAATTCATTGCTTTCTAGCAAGGACGATTAAGTTACTTTTAAAATAAAAATTTATTCAAAACGTCTTAATTGTATATTGTAATTCTTACCACACTTAACGACGCGTCTGGAATGTACGCATCCGAAACGGAAATCGCAGTGATAAACACGTTAAGAAAAATTATCAAATCAAAAAAGGAAATCATCTTCGCACCGTCGTTAAGACACTGTGCAGCTATAGGTTTCATGTAATAAACGTACGAATGCAACTGCCGATTAGACCGATCAAAACACAATGAACAACGATCTGTCGACGATTCATCATCGTGTGTACAAATCTATATAATGAATGTACGTAAATACATACGTATACGGCTGTCGTATTGATAATCTAATGACCTTATTATGAGTAATACTACCACTAGATCAAACAAAAACCGTACACAAAGGTCTGTTAAGAAAAGCCTAAGACAACGCATGGTGATGCGTATAGGTCGAAAAAAATGAAAACCCGTTTTTATCCGATTTTTGTACACATAATAATAATACGCATAGGTATATTGGTATATATCATAGGTATATAAATTTATTTGTATTTATTGCAATCTATATTATTATGTATAACGCTCCAATGAGTTGTTACTAAAAAAAAAAACAGTTTTTCAACAACAAAAAGATAACCTTACGAACATTTTGTTCGATTAATTACGAGAACACCATTCATATGCGTTGTAAAACATCTGCATCCAAGGGGCGCTATCTTGGTTCTTAGGCCCATCTGCCAATCCGTACGTGTAAGGCCACTGCCACGTGAATACACTTCGTTCCGGATGCGGCATTAACGCCAAATGTCTACCGTCAAATGAACATATACCGGCTATTCCATCTGTAAAATAATATAAATATGAGTACAAAAAATAAATACCAGACTAAAAATCATCGAATTTGTCAATATCTTATGAAGACGATATATAAGAGAATAGAGAAAAAACATTTAGATTGACTAGTCTCCTTTTTTTTTAATAGTTATCACAATATTTTTTTTTAAAGGTTAAAAAAATATGATATAGTTGTAATGTATATCTATAAAAAATGATTATTTTACAAATTATAGTAAATAATACGTTACACAGATACGATTGATACGAATTTTATATAAATAGGCACTACAACTACTGAACTATGTTATAATATCAACAAGTATACAGTTTTTTTTTTATGTCTGCACGCCATTGTTTAGAGCAATACGTAGGTACTTTAAAGAATAGTTTCTGGAAATTAATTTAATTTAGATGGTACTTTAATTTACATCATAAGTAAAAAAATTCTAAGCAATTTTCCAAGTCATCGAACAAAATTAAAAAAAATTCAGAAAAATAGTTATGTTTATGCAAGCTACCAGTTTTTGACAAAATATATAGTTTTTTTCTGTCAATAATTTTATATCAGTATAAATAAATAATAAAATATCTTTAGAAAACAAGCTGACTGTTTCTACTCAAAATTATCATATTATCAGTTATCATTGAATTCAAATTTAACACATACATTATTATGATATTATACTCAATGACAAGGTATACTCAACTTCTACAATACAGCAAAGCTATTTTCCTGATATCTTTCTACTTAGAATTTAATAAATACATATTATTAATAAATTCAATACATTTTTGTACATATTTTTGAATATGACACTAAGGCAACATCTACATCTATGACAGCTATCTAACATTTTTTTAAACACAAAAAATACAATACTGCACAAACAATGTTTTATGTCTTCATAATTTTGTTGTTGTTGTTTATGAATAAACAAATGATGAGTTAAGATTAATAAAATTAATTAAATATAACTACATTTTTATATATTGATATTGACCTTGAATTAAAATTTTAAGTTTTAATAGTTAAAATATGGATAATTATGAACAATAAATAATAGATTATAACAGCAATCATTAAAATAATTGATTTCACCATAATTAAAATTTTAGATAATCATTAATAAAAAAAAATGCATACTAGAATTTTTCAAAATTGTAAAAACATTAATTATAATGTAGGTACTTATTCCAACATTAATATTAAATTTAATTTTTCAATTCAAAAATAAAATAAATAAGAAAATACTTATTAGAAATGAATTTAAATTATGTAATTAAAACATTTATTTTACTTGTTTATTAAAAATTTCTTAAAAAACAGATGTCTGAATGATAAATATCTTTTAGAATTTCGGTAATATAAAGGTTTTTTTGTATAGAGACCTGTGAATAGGATGAAAACATATACTTTATTCAAGTTAAGAAACAGCTAACTGACTAATGTCTAGAAGTGTGACTAAACTACTCAGTAGGCATATAAATGGTTAACTCGGTAAAAAGGACAATTTAGTATTTCCTGATATTGACCATTGAAAACTAGTGGTTCACAAATGTGTTTCTTAACTTAAACAGAATATAAGTATCTTCAAATGTTTTACTATAGATCATTGGATAAATAGATAAATAATAAAAAATTTAACTAAAATGTTATCACTTACCAGGAGAACCATTAGGATTCATTGGATAATTTTCAGTTGGTTTATTTTGATCATCAACAAATGTAATGGGAATACAATTATTGGTAACAAGAGCATCTTTAACATCTGGATTTCGGAATTCAAAACGACCTAAAATTTAATTTATAGATTTAATTTTTGCCTTTAAAAATATCATAACAAAAGATAAATTAAAACAAAATTATTTAAGCTGATAAATATAAGTGTTATAATTGTAAAATTATCTGAATTTAAATTTAACTTGTCTTGATAAAATGTATTAACTATATTTTTGTATTACAACATATTTTTTAAATTAATTACCTTCAGCATGAGCAATCCATACTCCAAGAATACTTTCATCCATGTCTTTGAACATTATAGCCTTAGAAGAATTTATTTTAACCGTACTAAAACGACTTTCATACCTTCCAGACTTGTTATGACACATTATTACAGGAGGATCATCAATATTTAAAGAATTACTTTCATTTATTTCACCTAAAATTAATATTTATACTAACTAGATATAAGGTTTTAAATTATTTATAAAAAACAAAAAAATTAAATAAAAATTTACCAACTAATCCAAGATTACACATTAGTTGACAACCATTGCATACTCCTAAACTGAATGTATTCTTTTTAGACATAAAACTCTCTAAGCTTTTTTTAACATTGGGATGGAATGCTAAACTAGCAGCCCATCCTTTAGCTGAACCCAATACATCTAAATAGTTATAAATCATAAATATAAATAATAATGTTAAATACTTATTGACTATTAACACAATAGCTGTGTATAAAAAGTCTTATAAACTAAAATAAATCACTAAAAATAAAATAAAAAGTTGTTGTACAACTTATTAACACATATTCAATATCGCTAATAGATTAAAAAAATGCTCATTACCTAACGCTAACTGAATTATCGTTAATTAAAAAAATATATTATTCAAAAGTAAATAAATTTTGTTGACCATGAAAGCAAACAAACTTAATGGTGCAAATAAGTATCTACACAGTGAACATGTTTTCTAATATCATACCTCCATAACTAAACCCTCCAGGGAAAATCAACCCTCTAAATTGATCAACATTAACTGCCTCATTTAAAAGATCTTGGACAGTTATATCCCATACTTCAAAACCAGCTATGAACAAAGCCACGCTCATCTCTCGATCACCATTTGTTCCTTCTTCTCTGATAACAGCCACTTTCAATGGTACATCTAAATAAAAATTCAAGCATTCAATTAATTTTATTTTTAAATTTTATAGTAAATTTACAGTTACAAATTACGATAATACAAGATGTATAACACACAAAGTTAATTTAATAATGATAACAAGAATTAATAACTTAGTAAGGGTGATTAATAAACACTACTTTAAGGGTAAAGCATGAAATATGAAAAATTAATGGACACAAAAGTGGAAATAAATAGTAAATTATAAAGCAGTTAGAAAGAAAAGCAGTTTTTTTAGATTTAAAATCTAAGGTAAAGTATGATTAAAGTATAGATAATAACAACTAACAAGGAATATTTATAACAAAACCAAAGATTATTGATTGAAAAGACTAAATAATGTTGCTAAACATTTAACTACATCTTATAATAGAATACTTCAAGTCATATACTATATTACTATGATTATGTTATACATTCATAAGTATAAATTAATTAATTTGGTTAAATTTATCAAGTATTCTTTATACCTGGCACAGCTAATGAATTATTTAATTCAAAATTACAAGAATAAACTGGTCCTAAACGATTATCTAGGGAATTAAATTCTTCTTCCGCTGTTATAACATTTGACTGGATTTTTTCAATCTCATAACTTGTTCTTTCCCACATTTTGAACACTTCAGTTAGTTTAACATCAAGTATAGTTTCCTCTGATTTTTTTATTAAAATCTGAATAAATAAAATGGTAAAATAATTAATTATTTTATTATAAAATTATTAAATACATTTAAATTTTTTATTTATTATACAAAATAAAATATTCTAACTACATACACGAGATTTGTTGCCATATGTTGATGTACGACCAATAACATAAACGGGTACATTTATTTCCATGAGCACTTCATCGACATTTTTTGCATCCACTTCCAAAACCCAACCACATTCTTCAGCAAATAATATATCAATAATATTTTCACTAGATACATCTTTAATGTTATTCAAATCCACATTGAATCCGCAATATCCACCAAAAGCCATTTCAAGGAGACATGTTATTAATCCACCATCACTTATGTCATGACCAGATAATAGTTTTTGATCTGAAACCATTTAAATTAAATTATAGAATTTATTTTAATATATAAAATTAAGAATTTATTTTTTACTTTTAATAAGTTTTTGAATAGATTTAAATGCTTTTTTTAACATGCTTGGATCATCCAGATCTGGTGCATTACTGCCTAATTGTCCAAAACATTGGGCTAAAGCTGAAGCACCTAGTCGTCGTTGACCACCAGACAAGTCTACAAACAGAAGGTAACTAGCTTCTTCATTTTTGTGACTTTGTCTTGGTCCTTTGAGATCAGGAGTTATGACTAATCTTACATCTTCGCATTGAACATAGGTTGAGATGACTATAGAGCCTATTATACAGTTTAAAATTGATTTACAATAATATTTAACTAAATTAAATACTGTAAATTTAATACCAGGTGCTTTGATGTTTTCTTCACCAACTTTAGCTGCCATACTCAAAGAGTCTTTACCACCATCAATAGCTATTCCAAGTTGTTTCATTACTTCACACATAGCTTTACAAGCGTAAAACAATTCTGCTCCTTCACCTGGCAATTTTGCAGGCCACATCCAATTACCACTACATTTAATATCCTATAAGCACAAAAAAAATTAATTAATATTCATATTTAACATCTATATGTAGTATCTATATATTTATACTTCTAAACTTGATATCGGAGCAAAAACTAAATTTGTCAATGATTCTGCTACAGCCATTCTAGCTCCAACATCTGCATTAAGT